CTTTATTTTGTAAAGGTTTGATCCATGTAAACGTGACGCATAAACCCTCCACGAGCAACTCTGTCCCCAACACTTGAGTATCATAAGCTCTGGAGATGACCTTGCATTCCGGTATTGGAACTTATGATGTATAGCATACAAAGCCATGTGTTGTTTAAATGAATTACGGCTATTAAAGATCATGCCCACGTATATGTCATGTGTAGGGTTAATATGCTCGCCTACTTATCATAAAATTTTTCCATTAGATAATCTTGGTTTATACATAAGAAATTACAAAATACTTCTTAGCCGAGCAAATTACAAAAGAAACCGGTTCAGATATATGTTCACCGGTAAGCATAGACTTAACCGCTACAAAATAACTTAACCAATTTAACAAAATTAGTGGTTTAACTATATAACCACATAAGTGTTGGCTAACACTTTAACCGGGTATGATAGCAACGAGTTCATTATATTTTACAACATTTCTTATTTATTCATAGATAACCATCTCTAAAACCCACCAAGACTGGGGCCACTGCCCTCCGATGAATTTCCCCCATCCGCATTCCCAACGACTGGATCATTTGTCCTAGGCAAAGGTCCGCACGTTAACGTGAGTCCTAAAAAGGGTTCTGCCGTTCCATTCTGATTTGGTATCTGGATAATCTGAGGTGTGGTTTGGATAGGCGAGTCATCGCTAATACCTTCTATAAATTAATTTTAACATCATTATTTCTTCTTTATACCAATATCTTAGTATTAATATACTACAACACATAGCATTTTAAATACGTAGATACTTTACCTCTTTCAACACGCTCCTCCGATGGCAGCAGTTGGGCCGTTCCATGGCTCTGTGTTGGTAAGATAGCAAGATCATGTTCAGATTCAAAGTCAGCCATAATGCAGATATCACTAGACGATCCGGTGGAAGAAGTGTCGAGTTTCCGGTGAGAGCACTACAGTTGGGTGGTTGATCTCTACAGTGAGAGGTGGTTGCTTAATAATGGGATTGTCCTCTTGAATCTCACCCACTACAAAAAATTTTTCCTCTGGCGGATATCCCTGAGACATGAGTCCCTCCCAGAAAAACATCGCATCGTCAATTCCACTGTAAGTGTTGCCTACAGTTGGTTGCATGTACGTGTCTAGGAGGTTCATACCAACGTCCCCAAACTGATGTCCTACTTCATTGTTGGTGGTTTCTGGAAGCACAATATTATTTGCAGTACCACCTACATCCCCTAGGGTAAACACGAAAAATATTAGCCATCATTACAGTTGTAAACAATATTCATTTGTTCACAAATGCTAAGACTAATCAGTTACGAACAATAATAGTATGTTACGCAATAAATACCGGCTACTTAAAATATTATATGGTTAATTAATTTTTGTTAGCTATGTCACTAAGTTACCAGAGTTTCGTTGTGGCACAGTCGCATTGTTGGCATTCTCACTGGATCTAGCTAGTCATGTCAACTCCTCATCCATAGGCTCATTATCCTCAAGTCGTATTATCTGAGTACCAGTTGGTGGATCGGCTAACATTAGGTCCGTAGGCCCATGGACCCCAACTTGGTTGAGAGGGTTAGAGTAAAGCATCTCTAGATGCACCCTGTGAAGGATGAGCATATCAGCTTCGGTGAAAACTTCCTCTAGAACAGTTCGAACTCCTTCTATTCTTCAACCTGTTATCAATTCTGTTCAGGGTCGAAAAAATCAGTAAAAGAAGAGTGAATGAACAATACAAACTTCTTTGATAGGGAAAAATGTTCTAACGTTATACTGAGCGTTATCCTGAGTGGTTGGATTGTCCGGAAGATACGTATTCCGATCGATAGTGAATGGTCGGCGGTACTGGAACTAGTATGTAGCCACCGCTTTCGCACCAACGGTGACACAAAGTGTTAACTCTGGGTAGCAAAACCGAATAGACATAAAAACGAAGACATCTTCGTCTGACAAGATATCAGAAGGCGGGCCACTGTTAATATAAGGATCCGGGAGCAACTCTGGCAGTCGGTAGGTTAGAGCCACCGGGGAAGCAGTTTCAAGCAAGTACCTTCTCTTCACGTTGCCTAATAATGACTCAAAGCTTTCGTCGTTGTGAAGGTTAGCACCATAACCAAGATCTGAAGGATCGCTACGAAATTCCCACCTCCCATACGGAGTCATGATCCATATTCCTCGGAGCAAACAGACCAATCTCCCCATTTCTCTACAAATTCAACAAACACATTATTTAGCATCTAAAGTAAACTAATGTCGTGGCTATAAGAAAGGATTTTGCATATCTATATAATTTAGTTTTTTGTAAAAGTCAAACAAGTATATGATAATGTAAGCTGGAGTAATAAATAGAAGAAGACTAATCAGAAAAAATATGTGTTTCTTCTCTATTAAAAGCCAAAATCAGTAGGGTAGAGAAGGGGACCAACCTTTACGAGGTTGGTGAGAAGGTTGGATTTATTCCTTTTGTTGGATGTCAACTACGATTTTTGCCAGGTGAGTAAATGAGGAAGGAGATGAAATCTTTGTCTGTTGGTACGAAGAGTTAACTCCAGCCATTTTATTCTATAGAGAGCAAGGTATATGTTATATAAAGATGTGTATAACTTACATATAATTAATGCGCAATATCTTGTGTATAAGCGCAATTAATGCGCGCCGCCTGACACAATTTTTGAGTGGTTTACACTCTTCCACCCGCTAACCTACTATAGAGAACAGTGAGCTACAAAATATGTTAGCACAGCCTAAAAGATTTGCTCAGGTCTCTATTATATAAACATTACGCGTATGAAGGGTAAAACCGTCCCTTTAGTGTCATTAAGTTACAATGATGAAGAGTTTTCAGGTTTTCGTTGTCAGTTAGCTAATTATACAACTTCCTATGATTTTCTACCTAGTTAACTCTTTTTTTCTTTAGTTTTTTTTTTAATTTGATTGATCATCCTCCATATATTAAGGCTTCGAATGGTGACAGCGGTTTGGGCGGTGCGGGACAAGCGGTTTAAGA